TCTGGTGATATTACCCTAATAATAATAATAATAATAATAATAATAATAACTTTATTGCATCCTTAGAATTACAAATGTTCTATTGGTTTACAGCAATAAATATATAAGTGATTAAAATAATATCAAAGTATGATAACGTAAGAAATAGAAAAAAAAGAGTCAAGGTATTATATCCAAAGGCTCATTTCTTAAAATGAATGATTTATATAAAAATTCCCCTAAAAGTAAGTAACCACACACTAGTGGGATATCATATATCTGGTGATATTGCCCTAAGTAATCTCACAATAGTAGGATATCATGTATCTGGTGATATTGCCCTAAGTGACCTCACAATAGTAGGATATCATATATCTGGTGATATTGATCTAAGTAACCACACTGTAATGTAATGTATGTTATAAATGTTTATACCCCGGTAATACATACCAAGTCTAGTTTCATCCCATGTGTTAATTTTAAAATCAGGATCATAATCACCAGGTTCCCATTCACTGTCTTCTGTTGTGAAACTCTCCTCATCAGACTCAATGATTTCATCCTCCTTCTGTGAATGACATAGTCCCTGTCATTAATTTAAGTTCCTCTGACATTATTAAATCAAATAAATCACTGAACTAAAGCGTTTAAAGTAAGGATTCATACAGTAATGTTGATCCAAACCATAACTTTCATTACACTGGATATAATAAAACTTGTCTACTCCATACTTAGAACAGTTGTGCATATGGCAAGGTGCATTAAACATAAATTAAAATGAATACAAAAAAAAAGGTCACTGGTCGGCCATAATGTTTAAATGAACATACACAGTATCAAGATTCAAGCTACATATATATAAGTCAACATGAAATTCTTCTTTATAGCACTGACCAGTTATTCTATATATAACTATACAGTTATGATATTAAAGGGCGGTAGTTGTCGTGCCACACATGTGTGAGTTTGGATAAATGGTGACAATCCAATGTGTTTTTCCGATATGGCAAGCATGAATCAGAGTTTTGATCTGACCATGATGTGCACTAAACACTGACTTTGATGAGACTTAGAGTTATTTGATGCATTTCAATCATCCCAGGAATTACCTAGTTAAATACAGTATTTTTGGGGGATTTGTTGATGAGCACCATGTTTGTTAATATGTGACTCATATCTCACACATGTGACAAGACAAACACCACATTTCAACTGAATACCTGTATTATACCATCCTTGTCTGCTAACTGATAGCATTACCAGCAACAAAGATACAACAATATGTTATATAAGTAGTGAACCAAGAAATTATTAAAGGTTAAAAGTTGGAATGTTAAAATCAGTTGTGCAATGGGTATGGATACAATATGTGCTAGGTGATGAGGTAAACATGCAATGACACAGTAGCATATAGGATTATTGATTATAGACTGGTGAAATCACTGACAAATCACAACTATGAAAACTTTATGTGTTGACCATTATGATTGGCTAGCTTTTTAAAACATTCAACTGACTAATTAATCAAAACATTAAAAGCAAATTGGGGAGTGTCAGGGCTAAGTGAATGTTAGATATTCACCCCAAGAGAATGCATATCTTCATTGTTAGGAAATCTTCACATATACATTTTGTAAGTCATTATTTTACAACAGAATAACCCTAGCAAAAAATAACTTTTCCCTTCAGAAGGTAAAAGTGTCATTCGCATAGATCTATTAACATTGGGCTTATGTTTATGCAAATTACTTATTTCTCTGAAGTACCCTCATATGACCACATTTGAACACCCCTACCAAACATCCCAATCGATCAATGGAATCTCCCAGAAGGAAGCTAGGCATCCTGGGAGTTAGCTATCTTAAAAACATAAAATTAGTCTTTTATTTGAGAGATTGTACAATCTACTATAAAAGTGTGAGACTAAAGTGAGAAACTGACACTAAGAATAGTTAATCTAATGCAACTAGCATCATTGGTGAAAATACAATGGCCAGAAAACAATATTGTCAATAAAACAGCGAGAATTTGAGAATTCTTCTTTAGTCTCACTTGATTTTATCCATAGTGGGCCTGCAAGACATCCCAGCATGTTGATGATCAAATTGGAATAAAAAAATGTGAGATGTAGTTCATGACATTCACCCAGGTTAATACTAGATCTACATTCAAGTAAATAATGCTTTACCCCAGCAAATTGACAGTCAGGTGCAGGTAAGCTAGCCTACACTGAGGCAAACAGTTCTACTACAGGAAGTTATACGACCTGGCTACTAGCAAGAAAAGAACCCTTCACCACGTTGTTAACATACCACCTCTTGGAGACACAAAACCTGACAGAATATGTTAAAAAAACACCAATAAAGCCAAAAGTGATGGTTCAGACTTTCCTGAGAATTGGAAACTAGAATGAGTTGTCAACAACATGCAACAATGTATTATCTGTATAGTCTGTCACCCAAGTGAGGAGGAAAGGTACAGTTGTAATTGTGCCCTGTAAAGTGCATCCAGGAATATCATATGTAGCAGTCTGGCATGCAGAGGGACATACTGGCTTATACTGACGATTCTGGCCTACCACATCTATAATGAAAAAGCTTGGGGACAGAGAATCAGAAACCTCATCTGATTCTAAAAGAATGGAGAAGAGTATTTGTGGCATTGGCAAAGGACAAATGTTACTCAAAGTACAATATTATACTTAGATTACCTTATGATATGTAGGTACAATAAGAAATAGAGAGATTGGCGTGCATTATTTAGAAAGTGGAATACAACTCGCCCAGAAGTTCTACTAATAAGGGTAAACAATAAATCATTAATAAAATGTTGTAGGCACAATCTGTATAGGTCAAATAAAGCCTTTACAGAAATTCAATCTTATAATGCTGCTCCATTACTGACTATTTGTAATCCAAGCCTCACTTTCACATTGATGGAATGAATTAGCAGCAAATCAGGGTTTCTGAAAGCAAGGCTTTGAACTCAAATTAGTCAGCATTGGCTTTTGCCAAGAGCCGAGTAAGGTGCAAGTAGAAACGAAAAAGAACCTGGGCAAGTCATTTGGTGTTATTACTTGGTGCAGATATTGTGCATATATGAACTTTGAACTCTGAACTTTGTACCTCTGTATATTGGTCACCAATTACGGATGATCTACATGATAATGGCTGTGAAGATGGTGAAATACACTGATGACGATAAAAATGACGATGGCGATTATGATGATAGTGATGAAAGAAAATCAAGCATGCAATATTATTTAAATCATAACTAAACTACACATCACTGACTGGCTGAAATATTCATTAAAGAGAACCAAATGATGTTATTGGATAATATAGATCATGTGACCATAGTTATTTAAATAATGTTGACCATAGTTGCCAAAGATTGGTCAGTTTTACCTACCACTTCCTCAATCTCTTCTTCTTCTTGCGGCGGTTCATAGGGTAGGATTTTCCAGTGGTCTTCCTAAAAATAAATAAGTATTTTAGTCAAAATAAAATTTAGTTAACTAGTCAATTTGAGGCAGGGCAACATGTATAATGTTGCATTTCAAATAGTTCTAATGTACACCATTATAACAGCTGTAGAGAACTCATAATGCAACACAGCAACTCACCTGACCAAAGACACCAATATGATTGCCATATATATCCCATAATGCAACACTGCAATCAGAAGATCCCGAAATGATAAGAAGTCTTTCATTGCGTACACACAACTGTAAGGAATTAATTGTGTCTGCATGTGGTTGCCAGGTAACCATCATTTCTATAAAGAGAACAAAACACAATTATAATGTATTTGATAATTGTGATTTAAATACACAAGAAAGATAATGGACCAGGTGTTAATGAAAAATTATGAATTTGTTAGAAAATTGGAAATTGAAATCTACTACATATACTTCATATGCATTTGTGATGTTTAATTACATTTCTGTGGGTGATGACATTCTTTTAAATGATGATATTTTCATAGAATAATTCATGGTTTGATATACTCTTAGGCATCGGTAGCACAATTTATATCCAAATCTAGATAAATTTCACCACTGATGACTGGCAAAGGGTTAGTGGAAACCAATGTAATTTAAAATTGTATTAGCAAGTTCAATAATTATGAATTTGTCAAAAAATTAGAAATTGAAATATGCTAAATACATTTTATATCATGCATTATGTATTCCTGATGTCTTATTTCTGTGGATGACGTCATCTTTTAAATGATAACAATTTTCATAGAATAATTCATGGTTTGAAATTACAGGTAGCCATTGGTGGCAAAAGTGGCACAAATTATTGTGGCCAAATCTAAATTATTATCGCCATTGGTGATGTGTTATTAGAATCCAATGCATAGATATAAATCTAATATAATAATTGTATACATACGTGGAGGTTCTGTAATAAGTTCATTAGAGCTTCTTAGACAATATTCCTGAATGTTCCAGACTTTAACAAAACCTTCAGTATCTCCCGTAATGAGAACATGAGATTGTTCATCAACAGCCATAATAATACTGCTTACATGTTGGTGTGCAACAAACTCTCCTATTAAGGCATTCTTGGCAGTGTTCCAAAATCTAACCCATCCATTACCACCACAGGACACTAGGTTAGCCCCGCCAGCTGCAGACGAGCTCTTTCTAGCCTCTAGGAAAGCAAGTCTGGTAACAGCATGACCATAGTCCTGTGGTAAAAAAATAAATAATGTCAAATATACAGTAATATGAAATGCCATATTCAGAATCTATATTTGCTTGTAATTATATAGAATGGTTATTTTAACTACAGGAATAATCCAGCAATGAACATCTCAGGAAATATTCTGTTCTGAGATGTTTTAAAAATGTATTCAATCTCCGGTTGAGATGAGTTGGGAGTATCTTATAAGTGTCTATATACATCTAAAACTTGTACATGGTGTTTCTATGAAATATTATAACAAGTCATAACATGACATTGTACTTTTTCACTGTAAAATTATATACTATATGTGCACAGTAACAAAATATATGTGCAATCATAAGTATTCACAAGAAGTAAATACAATCATTTAAGACATGAGATAAATTAAAGGCTCTGGAAAATCTTTTAGTATGTACCAAATTTGAACAAAATTTATCCACGTTAAATTCATTTGCAAAAGGGTAGAAATGGACAAATGCATGAATGGGTGCATGCATGGACACACACAGATGAATCTATAAGTTTGGGACTTCATCTGAACAGAGACTTATAATCACTGACAATGCTGGTTGGTACATGTCCAATTACAAATTAATGTACATTTTTAGGTAAAATAAATATTTTATTGATTGGTTGATTGATTGATTGATTATAAATAAATACATGTGCTTTTAATAGACTATATAAAGTAACAATTAACATTAAATAATATAAACAATTAAAGCAAATAATATAATAAAAACTAGAATGATTTCATACCTCATCATCGCCACCCCCAGATATTCTTGTAGCTTCCCTTGATAGATTGCCTGGCATAGAAGTCAATGTGTTGCCTCTAGATAGTGGTGCTTGTACAACAGACACTCTGCCATGTGTAGGTGGACGACTACCTCTACCTACTTGCATAGATGGTCGTCTTCCACCCTGAGTTCCTTGTCTACTGGAGTCAGCCTATACAAAAATACAGTAACTGTTGTTTACAAAAACTAGTGGTGAAGGCTCTGATAGTTTTACAGTTTAATTAATTTTTTCCCCACTGCACTCCACTGGTAAACCTATAGGTATTCTTAGGGCACCTAATTTCAAAGCAAACATTTTTAAAAGTGCCCAAAACTATTTGACTATTTTGACAGGTATCAGTTTACGATGGGCATCTCAGCAAACATCTCTAATGGCTTCCGTAAAATCTGAGTGTTGCCATATTGGTATGTGCACTCCCTGACAGAGAAAGGCTATGATCTAAGTAAATCCTAAAACTTCAAAATGACATAGATTAGGAAGGTTATATTTGGCAGATTTCCTCAAATAGTCATATACAGAAGATACTGTATGATATATTGCTTTGGGAAGTACTAAATTGCAACAATGTAATTAACAGAGACAGAAGAGACAATTCTAAGTGCACATACTCCAGAAGACATACATCATCATTCACAGCAAACCATACTCAAAGTGGAACACATGCCTATTTAAATTATTTGATCTTTGATCATTTGGTAACAGAGAGTACAACTATACTTTGTTTTTAAATTATTGTTAATAGTAAGTTTAAAAACTTGGGTTTTACAAAGCAGGAGGCTGTTTCACAGAACAGTTAGAGTATAACTGAACTTACCCCTCTGGTTTGCACACGTGTTTCTCCCCTAGACTTAAGAGCCTTTCTAATAAATCTTTGTCTAAGATGTCGGGAAGCCACTTCAGAATTAGTATTCCATATAACAATTTCACCATCATAACTACCAGTACATAATACATTGGGACTCATAAATGCAGATGCCAAAATATCATCTTGATGTTCCTATGAAATGAGTATAAAAAAGAAAGATCATGAACATCTTGATATCCAAATATGAGTATGGGTATAGTACCTGTGCCAACTGGAGCATGTCTATGATATCACATTCACATTAGTACATTAGTAGTACTGTAAAATCTGTATTTGAAGTTATGGCTTCTATTAAAATGGTACAATGCAACAGAGGGGATGCGGCTTCTATGAGAGCATCTACACATATGGGAAATGATGAATTTTTGGTTCTTAATTGTTCAAAAACAATGGGTGTGACTTCTCAGGATTTGAAATCAGTCAAATATATATAAATGTTTTGAGTTATTGTAACCACCATTGGGACAGCATCAACAATACTGTTGTCAATGACAACAACCTTCCCCTTCATTCACATCATGTGCATTGTGAAAATTAATGCACATATGCAAATAAATAATTGATTTTGATGATTTTTATCACTAAAAATGGCCAGACATGTCAGTTTTTTTGGAAACAAAATGGTTTCCAGATGACATGCACCAAGGGTCCAATAAAGTATACCAAGTTTGAACACCCCTGTCACATATGTTCAGAATGGCAGAAATGGTTGATTTTTGTATAAGAATGAACAGTACTCTTTGTTAAGATGACAGAGTAAAATAACAGAATATAAATATTACCTGTCCTCCTTTCCATTCTGATGGCTCAATGTGAAACTGTGAAAACTGGGTATCACGGAATACAGTCAAAAACCTGAGAACAAAAATACAAAAAATTTAGTGTAGCCAAAAAAACAAAATGCAACATCAAAGATGAGGACAAAGATCCTCTTATAATATACTGCTTTTACTATATCTATCATATGAGAAAGATAACAAATAGCCATGGTGTAATATTGTATTTTGTTATTTACCACCAAAAATAAATAAATCATATTCTTAGGAGTTGAGCTGGCATGTAATTTTTGCTAAAGTGGCTAATCTGTAATTTTACTAATTCATAATGAAGCTAATTTAAAATAAAGTATATTCTCACAATAATTCTCACAATTGTTGACACTTTAGCTAAATTAAGATTCTGTTTATTCATGCATTGAGTCAAATTCACTGAATGGCATGTATAGCTATATCAAAGTGTTTGACAGTACTTTCATGGGATCAACCACAGTTGATGCAGGGACAATAATACCAGAAAATACAAGAAATTATTAAGCCAAATCTCAAATTGTAGTAAGGTATATTGTGAATAATGGGGTCCTTTTTGTTGTCTTCAATTATTTCAAAAATCTGGGTTTTAAAAAATGTCAAACAATGCCATTTTTCTTTAACATTGTGCTCTATGGAATTTTTCTAAAAATAGTGAATTTTGAAAAACTAATAGGACAAGTTTCTCAAAATATATCACTGGTCACTCCTGGTTCACACCACTTTTTAACAAACACTGATGCACCTCCCCCACTTCTACCAAAATGTGCAGTATTTTTTCTCACTAAGTGAAATGTATTAAAACCTGGTATAATCACATTTGGTTATGTATTTTTATCAAGCCATGTCTCCACTGTACAAATTATATCTACATTTTTGAAATGAATTGTTATTTAGTTTATTTAACAGTCCTTGAATATTCCAGGAAAGAAAAGATAAAGTATGTCACTGTAACACACGAAAGAATACATTAGCCTATCATTCTACATAATAAACCAATGAATATCGACATATGATTTATGACCAACTTTCTCAAAAATTATTTTCAAAACCCTTGATTAACTAATTATACATTATAATATCCTTACCTGTCCCATCCCATAACAAGAATACTTCGTTTTAAAACAAGTATATTGCTAATATCAGCAGGACTACCTCCACCTGCATTCAATGTGTGGTGACAGTGACCGTTAAAATCCCAAACCTAAACCAAAACAAAGATGAGAATAATCTGGATATTTTTCACACATGGAGGAAAGTCAGTTTGTAAAACTTCAATAAAGTGACGAAACATATTAGGATCAATCTCAGTAAGAACAGCCTTACACAGCCATACATATTATACCAACCCTATGACTTACCTTAATAGTGCCATCAGTGCTTCCAGTAAACAATCGAGTCTCATTCTGATCCAAGGCAAGTGCTGTTATTTCAGATGTACCATGACATTTCAACAACTGTTTTAGTTTCTGTCCAGTGTCTAACATCCACACATAAGCAGTAGAAGCAGCACATGCTGTCACAACCTGTAACAATTGTTTAAAATATTCAATATTTGTGTCTAGAACGAGATAATTTACATTTACAAAACAGCCATTACTCCTACATTCCTAAAACCTGAATAAAAACAATCCTGTTAGAAAGAAGACTGCAGATTGTTCATTATCAAAACCACTGCCTGTTAACTGCATGCAATAGTTTTACAACTGTACAAAACAGCAATGACTATTCTATTTACTGGTCTAAGGTTAACCATAGACAACAGCTAAAACTATATCTCAACTTACATGATTATATGTATTACTGTAGACAACAGCTATAACTATATCTCAACTTACATGATTATATGTATTACTGTAGACAACAGCTAAAACTATATCTCAACTTACATGATTATATGTATTACTGTAGACAACAGCTATAACTATATCTCAACTTACATGATTATATGTATTACTGTAGACAACAGCTATAACTATATCTCAACTTACATGATTATATGTATTACTGTAGACAACAGCTATAACTATATCTCAACTTACATGATTATATGTATTACTGTAGACAACAGCTATAACTATATCTCAACTTACATGATTATATGTATTACTGTAGACAACAGCTATTACTATATCTTAACTTACATGATTATATGTATTACTGTAGACAACAGCTATAACTATATCTCAACTTACATGATTATACATTGTATGTATTACTGTAGACAACAGCTATAACTATATCTCAACTTACATGATTATATGTATTACTGTAGACAACAGCTATAACTATATCTCAACTTACATGATTATATGTATTACTGTAGACAACAGCTATAACTATATCTCAACTTACATGATTATATGTATTACTGTAGACAACAGCGGTGACAGGTTTGTCATGACTTAATACACGATCTTTGACCTCAGGCTTCATTTCCAATAAAGTTAGCTGATAATTGAATGTGATGAAGAGTCTAGTTTTGTCTTCATGGAAGAACAATGTACTGTAGACATCAGGACCCTTTGGAAACATACCAGCCATGCGCTGTAAACACACTTGTAATTGTACATCCCAAATTCTTAATACCTATTTTCATCAACAAATTGAAGGAAAGGATAACAGTTCATTAGAAAACAAATTTGAATATATATGTGTGAAGTAAATTTAAAGTGTCATAGAGAGAACACGTATATCAATGTCAGAGAGATCACATGTCAGTGTCAGAGAGGTCAGTGTCAGAGAGATCACATGTCAGTGTCAGAGAGATCACATGTCAGTGTCAGAGAGATCACATGTCAGTGTCAGAGAGATTACATGTCAGTGTCAGAGAGATCACATGTCAATGTCAGAGAGATAGGATGTCAGTGTCAGAGCGATCACTTGTTAGTGTCAGAGAGGTCAGTATCAGAGAGATCACATGTCGGTGTCAGAGAGATAGGATGTCAATGTCAGAGAGATAGGATGTCAGTGTCTGAGAGATCACATGTCAGTGTCAGAGAGATCACATGTCAGTGTCAGAGAGATCACTTGTTAGTGTCAGAGAGGTCAGTGTCAGAGAGATCACATGTCGGTGTCAGAGAGATAGGATGTCAATGTCAGAGAGATAGGATGTCAGTGTCTGAGAGATCACATGTCAGTGTCAGAGAGATCACATGTCAGTGTCAGAGAGATCACATGTCAGTGTCAGAGAGATCACATGTTAGTATCAGAGAGGTCAGTGTCAGAGAGATAGGATGTCAGTGTCAGAGAGATAGGATGTCAATGTCTGAGAGATCACATGTCAGTGTCTGAGAGATCACATGTCAGTGTCAGAGAGGTTAGTGTCAGAAAGATCACATGTCAGTGTCAGAGAGATACATGTAGGATGTCAGTGTCTGAGAGATAGGATGTCAATGTCTGAGAGATCACATGTCAGTGTCAGAGAGATCACATGTCAGTGTCAGAGAGATAGGATGTCAGTGTCAGAGAGATAGGATGTCAGTGTCAGAGAGGTCACATGTCAGTGTCAGAAAGGTCACATGTCAGTGTCAGAGAGGTCACATGTCGATGTCAGTGTCAGAGAGAAAGGATGTCAGTGTCAGAGAGATAGGATGTCAGTGTCAGAGAGATCACATGTCAGTGTCAGAGAGATCACATGTCAGTGTCAGAGAGGTCACATGTCAGTGTCAGAGAGGTCACATGTCAGTGTCAGAGAGATCACATGTCAGTGTCAGAGACATAATGCAGTATTGCAGACAACACACAGGTATTGCTCAATGTCGATTTCTATCAGAAAACTAGGGAGTCTCACCTTATCTTTCGAAAAACTTAATAATTGTCCTCTTGAATAGTTGAACTGCACTTGTACAACAGGAGCCATATGACCTCGCAAAAGCTGAAGTGAAAAAAATGATCATTAAACAAATAAATATACTTTGCACCACAAGACCTTCTCATCCAAATTGTCTGCACTTTTTTCTAATATTCTTTCCATATTTCTGGAAATGAACCCTAATTTTGGAGCCAACAGACAAAATTTTAGTAAATTTTCAGGTTTTTTTTTGAAAAAATGTCTATTTCTGACTCAATATTCTGAAGGACTATAAACAGACTATAAATGGGGGTATTTTGTGAATTTGTGACGAAAAGAGGGAACTGGTGGTGAAAAGGTTAAAATAATTGAAACATTAAGGTTTTGTCTATTATTAAATTTTCTGAATAATATTTTGGTGGTTGTACTTACTCCAACAGGTTTTGATATGACATATGGATTCCATAGACAAACATGATGATTGACACCAGCAGTGGCTGAAAACAAATATAGTTACTGTAAAGTCATTTATTTTCACTCGGAATTTATTTTCACTGAAGAGATAAATCAGAAAAATAAAATCCAGTGAGACCAATCATTCAGGTCTATGGTTGCCCAATCACATTTATTCAAATCTATGGTAGACCAATCATACTCTCATTCAGGTATATTGTTGACCAATCACATTTATTCAAATCTATGGTAGACCAATCACACTATCATTCAAGCCTGTGGTTGACCAATCAAATTTATTCAAATCTATGGTAGACCAATCTCATTATCATTCAGGTCTATGGTTGACCAATCACATTTATTCAAATCTATGTTAGACCAATCACACTATCATTCAGGTCTATGGTTGACCATACACATTTATTCAGATCTATGGTAGATCAATCACATTTATTCAGGTCTATGGTTGACCAATCAAATTTATTCAAATCTATGGTAGACCAATCACACTATCATTCAGGTCTATGGTTGCCCAATCACATTTATTCAAATCTATGGGAGACCAATCATACTATCATTCAAGTATGTGGTTGACCAATCAAATTTATTCAAATCTATGGTAGACCAATCACACTATCATTCAGGTCTATGGTTGACCAATCAAATTTATTCAAATCTATGTTAGACCAATCACACTATCATTCAGGTCTATGGTTGACCAATCACATTTATTCAATTTTATGGTCGAAAAATCACATTTATTCAAATCTATGGTAGACCAATCTTATTATCAGTCAGTTCTATGGTAGGCCAGTTACATTTACTCAGATATATATCCAAACATCACCAAATCATGCAACTACTTACCTATTAAATTCAAACGCTCATGATAATCAAATGCATTTACTCCTTGCAGGATATTAAACTTATTCCTGTGGAAAAAAATTATTGAAAAGGTAACCTTATATATGATGACCAAGAGCCAAGAGTGCATTCTGAATACCATCATAAGAGAACTCCATCTTGCATAAATTATAATATTCTGATTCAGTGATTGGTAGATTACTGTCATGTGAATCTCTATTTTGAATAATTTGGTTTATTCTGATTGTTAGTCTATGACTAAGTACTCCATCTTGAATAAATTATTAAATTCAAGTTAGTGATTGGTAGATTTATATCATGTGATGTCATGAAATGACACAGTCCCTGTCTGTTTTCAATGTAAGTTCATATTGAAGTGCACAAATGTCCTATAATTAATGTTGGAGAATTGTCTTTAGAACAGTGTTTGTTGAAATCTGATCTGGTTCTGGAAATGCTTGACTATGATTACATTTTCAGCACTAAAATGGATGACATAAGGTCATCTTTATCACAAAGCAAAATGAATACATGTGCATATATATGGGACATAATGTATGATGCATGTATGAAATTTAAACATGATTAGTCAAGGCATGTCAGAGATATGGTTCTGGAACAGCATTCCATGAAACAAAATGGCCACCAGTCAATTTAAAACAGATCTGCAAAACAAAGTGACATGCATCAAATCCATTTTGAATCAAATCTTGAAATGAATATATGTGCATTATGTATCCCCAAAATGTATGTTTGAAATTTGAAAATGATGGCTAAATGCATGTCCGAAATACAGGTATGGGTGAATGTACAGACAGATGCACATAGGGGATTAGTAATTTATTGATTATCTATTGACTGCTAAGATCATGATTATGTGAGTACTCCATCTTGATAAACTATTATATTCTGAATCAGTAATTGGTAGATCACTGTCATGTGATTTTGCAACCTTTGATATAATTGGTAGATCACTGTCATGTGGTTATGCTAGCTTAAATATAATTGGTAGATCACTGTCATGTGGGTATGCTGTCTTGAATATAACTGGTAGATTACAGTCACATGATATACTTACATTCTCATTCTAGATTTGGTTTTCTCCACCCATCCCAACACCATGGCATTATCATAACTGGTAGAGCAGGATATGAAACATTCCAAATGTTGGGCATATTTCACTATAAACAAAATGAAATATGAACAAAAGTAAATTAAACTATCTCATGGTAACTTTCGATATTTTGACAAATGTTGATAGTCCCAAAAATACATACCTTGTCTTGTCCATTCTGTATGTCCATCATGCCGTACAAGACGACAAGTTTTGAATTTTCCCTTCAAAAGTTTCTTGAAATCAACATAAGTGGTTTGTTCTTTAGATAGAAAAAAAATTAAAGACAGTGAACAACCACAGCCATGAAATATTATGCATATACCTCAACATTGAGTAATAAAAAAAAAATAACAGTTCACCCAGAGGAAAAGAATGACCAAATGACCAGTCATAATTGTGTGGATATAAGCCATGGTATTATACCAGTATGTTTTTTATTCAATCATAAATATATTTAGGGCTTGGATTTCTCAGAAGAAAAAAAAGCACAATAGCATTCATTTTAATGTTATCACTAAGCTTTACATGAGAGGCTAACTAATAAGTAAACAAAGACTAAAATATCAACATATATATTTATAATAAATGTTATGGATTTGGTAAGCCTCTCGGCTGAGATAGCTCGGCTGTTAGTAATGCACATTTCAATTAGAGAATTGAAGATATCATCACAAAATGAACAAATCTAAGTGAGGTCTACCCAAGTTACATATACACCAAGTATCAAAGCAATCAGACTTGTAGTTTTCAAGAAAAGTCAAAAGTAAAAAAAGTAAAAAGTTGATGCAGATGCCGGCGATGGACAATTACTCATATGATAAGCTCTGCTTGACAAAGTCTACAGTAGAGCTAATAATCACTGAAAAGTCACAGATGTAATCCCAAAACTAGTATCAAGGCTTGGAGAGCATTCAACTGCATAGTTAGGTCAACTTGTATGGGTGTCAGTTAAATAATAACACATGCTTGTTGCCTGCCCAAGGGATGGTGGTCATGACCATAATATTGATGATGCCAGAGCCAAAAACAGCGACTGGGGCAGCACCAATGCAGCTAACGACAATTTGTTATGCGCAGTAGTTTAAATGACGTCATTCGTGTGATATACCCATGTAATATCCACTTGGCGGGCAATATACCATGTAATATCCATTTTTATTCAATGTCATGTGACAAGAGTCTCAACCAATCACAACATGCGTAACAATAGTGAGATGTGATAATTTGTTGTTATTTCTTACCTTGTTCACCAGCAGGTTGTGCTGGCCTATCAAATAATGCAATATTAGCTGACACAAACATGAATGCATTGACACGTCCACTTGTATCACCAAATACCAATATAGCTTCATTGGAATTATTCGGATCATTCCTGCAAACAAATAATGGTGCAGCAATGTAAGAATGAATTAATGAAATATTTTTTTCAAAATGTGTCACCAATTCTCAGGAATGGAAAACCAGAAATTTTCACCATAACGGTGAAAACAAAGGCTGAAAAACTCTAAGAAAACTGTACTTTGGGATAGTTGTTGATACTTCCTTGTACGGTGTAACAAGATTACCCCTGCATGTGTAACATATATAAATTTGGTTGCTAAGAATTACTTAGAAGTTAAATTTGTGCTGTTTCCTCAATTTTAGCTATTTTCACCAGCTCTTTGAACGGCATTCCACAGCAGCTTGCACACAGCCCATAGAACTACATGGTACAGTGGTGCGTGTCTTTACCAATATAGAACGTTCTGTGACATAGCTGCACCCCTGATATACACAAATTTGTGTAATTTTACACAATAGAATGAATGACGTAAATTAGGCAGCATAAATGAAGCCTAAATCAGCACACAAAGTATCATCTCTAAGAGGCTGTTACTGACTTAACCTGAAGCTTACATGAT